CCTAAAAAAATCTTATTACGTCATAACAATTTGAAAAATAACCAATGTTTGACAAAATGACGACCGCAAAAAGGCAGCCCTGCTCAAAATCAGATTTTGCCCCGAACTTAGGCCCGGATATTTATTATCCGATTTCGTTGTTCCGGCTCTGAGGTCGGGAAAATTCGGGTTTCGAGCAAGACTACCTTTTTGCAGTATTCATTTTGTGAGTGGACTTTTGCGGGACTTAACCATGAGTGTCTGATAACCGACAACTTCAAACCCAGCTCCACCACATGTCCTGCACGCTCATGATTTCCAGATGTTCATCGTCCTGGGTTCCACCCTTGCGCTTGCAGCAAACCATTCCATCGTAAATTTTACAATCGCGCGAGGTGCAAGGACGCAGGCACTATGCCGGTATCACAAAAGCCCAACCAATCAATGATACGAGCGACAGAGCAAAGGTAAGAGTAAAGAAGAGGCCACAAAAGCGGCATGCGCTTTTCATAGCCGAGACTGGGAGCGTGTCTGCGTAGCGGTCCGGCAGCGAAGAGGGTAGCAAAAGCAAAGCGCCGCGACCGTGCTCACGACAATTGCGCGGCACCGCGGTGCTCCCGCTCATCCGTTGAAAAGAGCGGTATCGCAAGCAGGGCCTGGCACGAGTCGGTTTCTAGAGTTTCTGAAAACGAAGTCTCCCCTAACTTTCGGAAGTTTTACGAAGTCCCCTTTGACCTATTTGCTTACTATTCTGAAAGAAAAAAACGTAAGATAAGACTGAAAATCCAAACTGGAGTGATATCACGCATGCACAAGAGTTTGGCATTGGAGCGCGATATTTTACAAAGCGATATATGAAGAAATGAAGGCAAAAAACAAAGGAAAGGCAATGATATGAAAATGTCTTCATGCTCAGGGATAGATTTTCGGCCGGGGAATCTGTCCATGATAGAAAAATCCAGAACCTATGTGAAATGACAGAAATATATGCTCCAGACATCTCAGATCGTCTGGTGGCCGTCTGGAGACGATCTAATTTTGGAAAACGTATTACTTCACATAAGTTTTCAAACCTTTTTACATAGATCTTCTGCAAATAATTTTCTAAGTATACAGTTTAATTTTGGTGCCATACGATTCTGTGTGCGCTGTAAACAAGCTATTTGTTGATTTTGACCTTACTTTCAAATCGCGCGCACTTTTCGCGATACGAGATAGAGCATGTCAATCGTGTGATAACCTGACCGAAAAGCTTGTATTCGACTAAATGGTGCTTATTCTTGGTGCTGGGCCCCGACTCGTCAAAAACGATATCTCCTTTGCTTTTTGCTTCAAAAACGAAGTCCAGCCTGATTCCAGACGATCTATGCCGGGCCCTGATCGCAAGCTGCGACAAAGAGGGTTTTTGTTGCTACTCAAGTCGACGGCATACCTCCGGAGCAGAAATGGCAAAGCCGCGGGGTTTCCCCAGCGGGGGTTTGCCACTCGTGCTCCGGAGCCCTCCCATTTTGTGCTCCGGAGACCTCCATTTGTGCTCCGGAGACCTCCCATTTTGTGCTCCGGAGGTGTCCCAAATCTGGCGTACCTCCAAAGCGCAAATCTGTGCTCCGGAGCCTTTCCATTCTGTGTCCCGAAGACCTCCCGTTTTATGCTCCGGAGGCCTCCCATTTTGTGCTCCGGAGTTCTCCCATTTTGAGCTCCGGAGACCTCTCTTTTGTGCTCCGGAGACTTCCAATTTCTGCTCCGAAGCCCTCCCAATTTGTGCTCCGGAGGTGTCCCAAATCTGGCCTACCTCCGGAGAGCAAATCTCTGCTCCGGGGCTCCTCCAAATCTGGTGCACCTCCGGAGCAGAGATTTGCGCGTCCCAGAGAGGGGTCCCATTCGCCTGCTTGTGACGTCACCGTGACCTACAAGAAGGGACCGCCCCTCGCCCCGCTCCCAATGGTCAATTGGCTCCTCCGCAGTTCTCTCAGACAATCGGTGCCGTAGTCGCGTCGGACAGTCGAAATCTGGCAGAGCCGCGGCTGACCCAATTGACCATTGAGAGCGGGGCGAGGGGGCGGTCCCTTCTTGCAGGTCACGGTGACGTCACCGGCAGGCGAGTGGGACCCTTCTCCGGATCTTCTCCCAAGGTTCGCCATTTCTGCTCCGGAGGTACGCCAGATTTGGGAGAGCCGCGGCGGAGAGATTTGCCCGCCGCGAGTGCGCCAGACTTGGGACACCTCCGGAACAGAAAATGGCAGGGCTCCGGAGCACAAAGTGGGAGGTCTCCGGAGCATAAATGGGAGGGCTTCGGAGCACAATAGGTACGCAGCCAATTTGCTGTGATACGCAGCTTAGCATTTTCGAAAATAGCTGCCCTCGTTTTCGACTTTTTGTTGTTTTTCCGCGTTTCTTTACCGTTCTTTATCTTTTCCGCCTTGCTCTTCGTCGCGTTGGCGTTTATGTTGTTGTAAGTTCCTCGTTTTCAGGTTTATGTTTCAAATTTTCGTGCGGATGCGCTCAATCACTTTCAGTGTTTGGCTCTTTTCGACTTGCTGAGACATCGTTGATTATTGATGGAGTGGTTTTTGTGATTAATTCTGGATTTTCGAAACAAAAAGTATATATTCCGAGTGAAGTCCAAATGAAGTTTTCTTCCCGTTTCAGTCGGAAAGCTTACTTTTTTTAGGTGCAGTGGATTAAGCGTTAATTGGAAGCATCTGCTGTTTGGGCCATCGGGAAGGATTCACACGGAAAATACATGCAAATGCACTATTGATATGCGACCCAGCTTAGGTATGGGTTCGAAAGGCGTCGTATGCAGTGTGCTTCGCAATCCGCCGTCCATGATGTCGTTTGAAAAATGCGACGTTCTGTGAGGTTAATGTGGGCCTTCCTTTCATACCTGAAACCCGGTCATTGTATATGACTGGGTTTCAGGTATTGTGTATGAAGGATTCTCTGAACGTGATTGAACAGGGTACTTGTTTCAATTTTCTCTTGGGCAAACCAGTTTCGTTAAACTTCTTCTACTGTTTTCATGAGATTGGCGGCTGATAAGGGGCCGCTTGCACAGGCGATGGCAGTCTGCGTCTCTCGCGCGAGCCTGCTCTCTGATCATTCCCTGAAACCTTGATTGGACCGCGAAGCCTACTATGACAACATTGTCTGTGAGCGGAAGAAAGTAACTCAGCAGGAGATTAATATGAGTCAAATCGTAATTTGTCCTCGGCTCCCGTTATGATAATTGTTATCGATTCGAACGACCTTCAAATGGCCGATATGCAAGTGTGAGTTCGGGATTGTTTATGCTTTTGCAGAGTTATTCCATTCATTTTTGTTTTTAGTACAACAATCTGGCGGGAATCATTTTTTGTGGTTGACCGAAATCTTCTCGAACTCTAGCCTTCGATTTGTAAACGGTTGATAACTTCGAGAGAAAGTTTGAGGCCTAACCGGACTTCGCACAAAAGCACCCAAAAGCGCTCAAAGGCTCCAAACTTCTCTAACCTCTCCTCACTCTTCACACGAAAAGGTGAAGAGACATCAGAGAAAATTGGGCGCTTTTGGGCGCTTTTGAGCGAATGGCCAGGGCCCGAGTTTCAGTCGCAATTGCGTACTGTTACAGGCTGGTCATGGATATGGGATGTTAGGCTTGTATGAAGTCATCAAGTACGCTGTGAATGAATCGCGTGTTTAGAAATTGCTATTCATAGACATAATCTTCAAAGATAGGTGGGTATGTGTGACACCCATCGCCCTCAAAGAGAACTCATCTTGGGCATGTTTTGAATCTAGGAGATTTCGTTTAGGTACTGTTTGTTTTAGAGTTCCAGTCCTATTTCTGAGGGGTTCGACATGATCTGCTATAGCGCTTATTCGCAGCTCTAAAATCAATAACAGCGTCTTCGATGAAATGAAACCTGAGAACATTTTGATGTGGTCATCGTTAAGGAAGTAAGTATTGACAGTTTTGAATTTGCATCCCATTGCCAATCTTTATGGAGATCAACCTGAATCGCTTCATTTATCTGTCAAGAGTACAGTACAGAGTTGTGGTGTCTGTCTCATATTACATCGTGTACCGCATCTCTCAACCGAGACCTATTCTGTGCGAGTTTCCTCATTGTTTTGCGCTGCAATGCAGATATCAGCACCAAAAGGTTTTGTGACAAAAGGTTTTGCTCTGTGTTTTTCCAAGCGATCTAACTCACTACACTTGCTTCGCTTATGTTTTCGCCTAGGGTACGGCCATAAGTTGCCGGCAACTGTTTTCTTTGTTGTCCGTTTTGTAGCTGCTGAGTTTTGTTCTGCAATTTGCAGGAGATTGTTTGCAGTTAATTCGGATTGAATGTCTTGTCTCTTTCTTTCTTCTATCTTCTATCCACAAACGCTAGGGGTGATAGGGAGGGGGTAAAGAACGGGGTTGAGGGTCGCGCTGAAGTCCTACCCGGGGAGGGGGGTCGTATTCGTCTAATTTGGGTGGGGTTTAGAGACAAAATTGGGGTCTGCAGCTTAATTAGGGCTAGTTACAGTATGCCGCGGCAGCCTTCCGCAGCACAAAATGGGAGGACTCCGGAGCACAAAATGGCAGGGCTCCGGAGCACAAATGGGAGGCCTCCGGAGCACAAAATGGCAGGGCTCCGGAGCACAAATGGGAGGCCTCCGGAGCACAAATGGGAGGGCTCCGGAGCACGAGTGGCAATCCCCAGCTGGGAAACCCCGCGGCTCGGCCATTTCTGCTCCGGAGGTATGCCGTCGACTTTCTGAGCTGCCAGATTTCGACTGTCCTCCGGAGCTACGGCACCGATTGTCTGAGAAAGCGCCAGTGTGCAGGAGTGAAGATAAATTTTACACTTTCGGAAACAGCAACGCTTTAGAGTTTTATCAGCATTGATATGTTTTTTTAAATCACTTTTAGTAATCTGAAACCGTGGTAACTATTTAGCCGCCATGATCTAAAATAAGAATTTTGGGTATGACAATTTCTTCAAGGATTATATCATTGAAAAAGCTTTGCTTGCCACCTTCGCTTGCTGTTACAAATAGACTAAAGCTAGCCGAAGAAACGGGTTGAGCAACAAACTCAGACACTGACACAAGCTAAGAATCTTTATTCGGATTTCAGAGTGTACTTTGCAGAGCATCAATTTTTGCTGCATACGCAGGTGCAACGTTCTCCAATCTTCAAATTGAGACCGTCCCTTCTGCCCTAGAAAATAATGTCGTAACAAACTAATTGATGTACAGGGCGCTGTGTGATCGCGAGAGTAGGTGAGATTTCGGCCATTGCATACGTAGGAACCCATAAGGCCTCAAATCAGATAAACAATCCCGTACTTTTCAAGAACTTTTAAATAATTGGAAGCTAACATCTGATAGCAAGAAAGCGTTTGAAAGGAGAACGATAATTGAGAAAGCTCAATGCATGTGCAATGGGCGCAAACTCGCCGACTCTCACGATCACGCAGTGCCTTACACTCACATATCGATGAAAAACTAGAGTTTGTTTGTTGTTAAAGTTTTGAAAACGATAGTGCTTTATTATGGTCGCTACTCTTTCCTGACAGTTATACGTTCATTAGAACTTGGCTGATGGGGTGGGCTTGCTTTTGTCGAGGTAGGCACTTTCAACCAACTTTATTATAGTCAATTCTACAACAAAATTCTGAGAGCAGAACGATATTACTAAGTTGGTTTACACGCCTATCTTGTTTATACATTGGTCTTTGTTGTATATAGTTAGTTTAATCCACTACACATGCTGATAAGCCGTGCACATTTTACAGACATTTTAAAAGTAATCAAGCAAAAGCTGCCTGCGACTTCAAAACTGTTTGCACCGAAACAAGTCGGCTGAAGAATTACATTCGAGAGCTCCACTGGCGATCATCACGCAAAGTAATACGATGAAGAAAAGTGCGAACTTCATGGTTATTGTTACTGAAATTGATAGTAATACTTAGTGAGCAGTCCTTCAACCAACAATTACGCATTTAAGAAAATATGTCAGTGCAAGAGATACGAGATTACCACTTCCTCATCCTATTGGCTAAGGTAATAGAAACTGAGAAGTGCATTTGGATAGTGTGCAAAAATTAGAAAAGTGTCATTTTTACTTTGTGAAGCTATCTACTCGCCTACTTTCAAAGGAAAAAATTTCGCAGTGACCACTGATCAAATGGCTGAAGCAGCGCGAAGGAGGCTAACGAACCGGTGAGCTGCATTCTTGAATCCGAGCAAAAACAATGTCTTTGACTCCTTTTGCACTTTTACGAATTTGCAAGGGAATACCTGGGCGAAAAAAGAGCAGTAAAGTTTCAACAAAAATGTAAACTTCAACGGGTTGCCAATCTTACGAGGTCAGAAGAGCCAAAAAGTTTTCTGTGAAAACAAGGTAAAACCGAAGCTTATAATATATCTGCAGTAACAACCACTTGTCAAAATTCTTTTGACAATCGAATAATTGAGCCTGTAGCTAATTTCGACCCAACCGAATCTGCTTGTACACTGTTTTTAAACCTTTTCCTTTATTTGAGAATAATTGTCAAAATTATTCAAATGATGATTCATGAGTGCTCAAAGGTTTATGCTCCTCTTTGGCCTTAATGTCGGGCGAACACTTTGCTAAGCTGCATAGTAAGAAAAAAAATAGGGAAAACTATGATTGATGGCGTTACATAACAGAGGGTTCTACAACTGGTAATTTACAAAAGCAAAGTTGCTTACCTCTATTCTCAGTTAGAGCATCGGGTTAGTAAGTTTGCCCGCGCAAAGAAAATAAAATCGGACAGTTGGCATACTTGTGGGCGCGGAGGAGAGCTCAAATAGTAGCATTCGTGCTTCACATCTATGCAACAAGGACTACACGGATTCTCTCTGGTTATGAAATAATCTCTGATATACAGGGTGTCCGTAAAGTATGTATACACTGTTTGATCGTTAATATCTCTTTTCCCAAGAAGTCTTTTGCCTTGCTTTAGTTACCATTTTGTAGAGCTGGCTTCAACTTAGATTTACAGTATAGAAGGAATCACCCATCTCTCTTCATTACTGTAGGATTACGGTAGAAACTTAAACATATGGTGGCAATGTGGAAAAAGCTGCCGTTTCAAAATTTTTAAAAAAATATGAAAACTTGTGTAATAGGGTTCTTATGGACGCTGAGTTCAATACTCAACTATTCGGAAGACTGCGAAGCTTTCTAAACGGCGTAACCGCACCTTTTAGGAACCTTCAAGAATGGCCGCTATCTCTTACCTGGCATAATTCTTCAATGAAGCATCATAATAAGTTGAGAACTTTACAGTTAGAATCAGCAACTCTAATTAGCCTAGTGTGAAAATTTTCAGGCTGTTATGTTTCCTTTCTGGGGCAAAATATGGCCTCTCATGGCTCAAAACCCTCTTTGAAGTTTCCACCGTAATACTACGGTAACGAAGAGAGATGGGTGATCTCCTTATCTAAATGTAAGTTGAAGCCAGCTCTACAAAATGGTACCTGAAGCAAGGCAAAGGACTTCTTGAAAAGAGAGATATTGACGATCAAACAGTGTATACATGCTTTACGACACCCTGTATATACCCTATTTTCCGGTTTATAAGCCGCACCTTATATAAGCCGCACCCGCCGCCATGAACAATGACGCGAAAGAACCTTCGAAAAGAAAGTTTTGATCTAACAAACTGAAAACTCGCTGCATTCTGTGACTGCTTTTCATTGCGCATGTTCACGTTTTCTGATATTTCTTCATTCTTTCCAGAGATTCGGACGATTTTGGGGTGTTTGGGTTGTGTTTTTTTCTCAAGGATACAATGGAGTTGACAGTGTTTTTTTTGTTGTTGAAAGATGATACTGAGGTTAAAGCTGCTGCTATTTTATTCGATTTTAATGATTGTTGATCATGATGTTGATGTTTTAAAGGTGCTTTCACTGCTTCCACAAGAAAGAGCGAAAGCAGAAAGTTACAATCAGGCTACTAGGTAAAATAGGTGGTAGTTGGCTGCTTGCGCGGCTTCGCACATCGCGACCATCATCTCGCATCAGCCCGCGCGCGGCGAAAGTAATTGCGGCTTATACGCCGGAAAATTGGTTATATAAGTTTTTGTCTTTTTGGAGTTACTGTAAGCTTTATTTTTCGACAACAAAGTAGGCAAGTAAGCTCGCACCTGCTCATCTACAGGACTCTATTATCCAAATCTTAGCACTCTCCGGTAGCAGATCCGTAAGGTTCGTATTGTGAAGACCAAAGAAACGTAGACGTTTATTGGCAGTGTGGTAAAGGCGAATAGCGAATAGCGAACAAGCATACATCAGCCTCCTTTCATACAGAAGCAACAGAATGAAAAGAGTGGGCCCAGCGTGCATTTGCATATTCTGCGACAACCGTTAGACGCATTAGCGCATTCAGCCGTACATCTAAACTAATTCTCAAGTCATTCGAGGACAGATAATGCAGTAGACAAATGGCTGACAGCAGACAACTGGGCATAAATACATCGGGCGGAATCATTACGAATATCACCAAGTGTACAGTCATCTCAAGCTTGCGAAGAATTGCTAATGAAGTTTACGAATTGGAACTGCTATTTTGTAAAATCATAGAGTAAGCTTGCAATTGCTCATCTACTAACTTTGTTTCGATGTCCAAATTTATCGATCACATGGACAAATTATAAGAAATCCTTAGAGAAAATTTTAGAAAAAAAGATAGGTTGTTCGGATTTTAGCTTGCGCTTTCCGGTCAAAATTTTGTGACTGCGCGGTGCTAAACATAAAGTCTAAGGAGGGCGGTCGAAAACGATTGAACGGTACGATCATCATTGCAGTCGCGAATCTTTCAAAGAACAGCTCGCACACATAGCAGTCAGCGCAGTTAGAATTTTCGTAATATCTCAGTGAAGCAGTGTGCTACATCAACACTGGAAATTTTTTGGAAGCCTGAAATCACACCAGGTTTTTTAGAGCCATGCCTGTATTCATGCATACGTGATATTCCCAGATAAAACAAAGAATTGAGCAGTGGTCGCGATGTGAGACGTGGCATTCTCAGATTCTTTAATTTGATTCAAATGTTAGTATACTTTTCGAAACAACTTTCAATTAGAAAAAACGTTGACGTCTGCTAATGTTGTGTCACTTCGCTCATATATTTTATAAACAGTAACTGCCGAAAAGTTGCTTTTTTTTCAGATTGAAAACAATGATGAAAAATGTTTGCTTCCCATCTTCCATCGGATTGCATGATATATTGGAGCTTTTCAAGAGCTACAACCCACACATTACACTTTCTGGAAACATGGATTGAAAATTTAGAAACCTTTTTTTCAAAAAAAAAACCCTCTTTCAGGGCACGCCACAATGTCGCGGACAATAATTTTTAAAACGCGAAAATTTTCTTTTAGGTCGCTTTTGGGAGAAAAAACGGAAGCTTTTTGGACAAGTAAGCATGCTAAATTTTAGAGCCCATTGAGGACATATTCGGATAGCAGTTACATTCAAAAAACCCAAGTCTAAATTCAATTTTGCTTTATCCTAAAAATCAACTTCTAATTACCTTTTTCAAGCCAAATTTCTTCACAAGGAAAACTATTCAAGACATCCCAGCAAGGCTGCTTGGATAAATTGGATGCTTCTTGCCATCCTCTATGCATCGGACGTGTGCTGGTAAGTTTTTTTGGTGTAGTTGTTGATAGTACGTGCACATGACCACCTGCGGTCATACGGTCATACATACGGTTGCAAACCAGTTGCCTCCTCAGGTCTGGGGGCGGTAATCTACCACTCTAACGGCCTCTTGCAAACCCGCGCGATGTACGCATCTCCGCACTGCCCTGCTGAATTCGTCCGAAACAAACGGCAGGCAAAAGGGAAATTTGTCTGCTTGGAAGCTGGACAAGCATTAGTCAGGGCCCGGCACAGATCGTCTGGAAGCAGGCTAGATTCCGTTCCCGGAGCAAAAAGCAAAGAGGCTATCGCTTTCGCGAAATCGCGGTCGACCAACAAGGATAAATGTCATTTAATCGAACACAAGCTTTTCTAACAGGTTCTCACACAACCGACATGCTTTATCGTGTATGGCGAAAAGTGCGCGCGATTCAAAAGCGAGGCAAAAATAGACAAATTGCTTGTTTACAGCGCACACAGAATCACATGACACCAAAATTGAACTTTATACATAGATTATTTGCGGGATAATTATGTAAAAAGATTTGAAAACTCATATGAAGAAATACCTTTTCTAAAATTGGTCCTGCTCCAGACGGCCATCAGACGATCTGAGATCGTCTGCAGCATATATTTCTGTCACTTCACATAAGTTTTGGATTTCCTTAGCATGGGCTAATTACCCGGTCAAAAATCTGTCCCTGAGCATGACGACACTTTCGTATCATTGCCTTTCCTTTGTTTTTTGCCTTAATTTTTTCATGAATGGCTTTGTTAGATATCGCGCTCCAATGCCAAACTCCTGTGCATGCGTAGCATTCGGCTCCACTTTATATTTTCACTCTTATCTTGCGTTTCTTATTTCAGACTGATAACTCTCTATTGTTTTCATCTTCTCCTAAGTCGGTAGGTCAAAGGGGACTTCCTAAAACTTCTGAAAGTCAGGGGGGACTTCGTTTTAAAAAGTCCAGGAACGGACTCGTGACGGGCTCTGGCCCTACCGTCCACAAAGCTGCGCGATCGCGGTTTACTGCCACAGTACTTTCCTGATTGAGCAATTTGGCAACTTGGTGAGCCAAAGCAACGACCCAGAGCGTCCGTGGCCACTAAATGAAACGCGAGCAGTTGATTTAAACATGTTTGTTGTTATGGAAATTTTGATCTTGCGAGGGTGCGCGGACGAATAATGCACCAAAATATTTTTGCAGGCGGGTTTGCGACACCACTTTTTTGTACTCCCCGCGAGATAGATAAATTTGAACGTTGAAGAATCTAAGCCAATTTTCGTGAGGTTTTTCCCTCGTAAACTTTACGCTAGGAAATTGCTCGTCAAAAATGCTGAAGCATATGCCCATCTCAGCCTGTGTGGGGCAAACAATGCAACAGTCATCTATGTGGCGGCAATAAAGCAGTGGCTTCCGTTCCAGTACCGGCGCTTCTACCTTAGACATAGAAGCAATCTTATATATAAAGCTGAATATCTGTTTGTATGTATGTCTGTCTGTCTGTTCTGTCTGTATGTCTGTCTGTGTGTACGTATGTTCCGAATAGAAAATTCCATTTCTGAACCGATCGGGACCAAACTTGGCACACATACACTTCGGGCCCCGGCGGGTGTCATAGGCTACTTTTCTATCGATCGATATCGATTTTATCGATTTTTTGCAAAATTTGAGCTACGGGGCTGGGAGTTGGCACAGGGGGGTAAGTGAGCATGGGGATTCCGAATACAATATTAGTTTTTGAAATCGTGCATTACTTTTATCGATTTTATCGATTTTTTTGCAAAGTTTGAGCCACGGGGCTGGGGTTTGGCACAGGGGGGTAATCGAGCATGCTGATCACCCCCGTGGGGGTTACTAAATTGAAACACTTCTTCTGATGTTTGTTAGAGACTGGCATGGCTCTAAATTGGACTGTTGTATTGGTGACCTCTAAAAAAATCGCGCCTCTTTACCGTCTCCCGGGTAATCGAGCATGCTGATTACGAATATAATAATGGCAGGGCCGGGCGGAGCCGGGTAAGTCAACTAGTTAGTAATAATATTTCATGAAACTTTGATGGGCTAGGGAAAAAATCGCAAAAAACTGGTTTGAGATTTAGAAAAATTCTGAGAATTTTTGACGCACACTCGAAGAAACTCTTCAGGAACTGCCACTTCTCAGATTGAATAGCGCAGATGTTAGAGCGCAGTTATGCTTTGTGGATACCTATGTCGTTCTGATGGCTTGCTAACTATACAGAGTTTGAACTGACAACTTTGTTGAAGGTGTCGATATGTTGAAAGGAGAAGCACTTTATTTCGATATACTTTCAAAATATCATACAAATGAAGGTCATACTTTTATTGATCGCACTATTTTGCATACAACCAGCATTAATATATGTGTGCGCAAAGGGAGAGCTGAGTGCATGGCATCTTGCAAGTGAAACGCTGCAAGTGTAAGTTTTACAATAATAATCCGTTGCATGGGCATGCGCAGCGATACACGTAAGGTGCCAAAGTTTTTAGCGTGTCCACATTGACGAGCAACTACATTTAGAAATCAGAAATGCGTCTTGATAAAAAAACCACTATTGTCAATTGCTAATGAGTTCCGTTCTGTCTTACAGTAAGTGAGAGTAGCGTTAATTTAAAACAAAACCAAACCATCAAGATGTACTTCAGGACACTCTGCTGTCAAAAACAAACACTATTTGTTCGAACAAATAGTGCATATATCGACACATAGATCAACATACCGTCAAGTAAATGTTTTCCAGGGCAGCGAAATAGAAGGATTCTGCTTATGGCGTCAGTGCGAAAAATTGGGAAGAAAGAGAAGATGTAAGAAGTCTCCAGTCTGCGTATGCAGATATTAAACCAGTGTTTTTGTACTCTTTCAATGCCCCACCAAAAAGGGCATATATTACGGAGAAATGAAATGGTTGTTATTGGTATTCGAAAAATTTTAACAAAGTAAACATTGCTTGTTAAAGTAATCCTATATCTCCCGAAAATCAATCTCTTATCTTCTCTTGATTCAAATGCTCTACACAATGCGCCGCGCCGCGAACAATATGCGTCGGCTCTACTTTTTAACTTAGTTCCTGCTTAAAAATTTACTTTTTGTATCGTTTCATGGTTGATTTCAACAATGACGTAGCACATAGATATTAAAAAGTTTTGCCTCTTGGGGTGTAAACCCTTCCAAACCTGCTCCAGTCACAATGACTGTGATTGGGCAGCACGTGTCAGGGGTCACACCTTGAATGGATGACCCCCATCTGTCCTGCGCGGCTGCTCGTTTTAGAGAGAAAACTCATTGAATCTTTATCTCTTCGAAGATATTGAATCAAACAAAAATTTCTCTGCGGCATTTGTAGGTCGAGCAGGTGACCGAAATGAAACATTTGCCAGCCTAATACTATGGTGTGCAATATAATACAGTGGAGTCGAAACAATGGTATCCAGCTTCGGATGTGGCTCCATAGCATAGAGCAGAAAACTTGGCTAACATTCGTGGTTGTGTGATCCAATAAATAAACGAACTTCCTTAGAAAAAATGTTCATAACTTTTTTTGAAAGAGCGTATATCTATTGTGAGAAGAGTGTTTCCATATGTACCTCAGCGAAAAGGCTACGGTGACCTAATGTGCTTTTCCGCTAAGTTGAAGCCA